AAACAAAAGTGGGGCCCACCAAATTACAATTTTGCATCATCTTCTTCCTCCAACATCTTCTTTCTCGAATCTTCCTTCATTCACACAATCAATTCAATCAAACAATCAATTCAATATCGAACCCAACAAGTGCCCTTTCTTTTTCCTTCCTTTTCCTTGCCTTGCCTTCTTCATCAATCAATTCTTCATCTTAATCAAACAACCAAACCCACAAAAAAAAAAAATAGAAATTTTTTTGCCCCTGGATTCGAACGAACCCAGCTCTTGGGTTCTTGAAGGAACCTAGTGCCCGGATTCAAGAAGAAACCCAACGCTTGGGTGCAAACGAAACCCAGGCGCCTGGGTTCGAGAAGAAACCCAGAGCTTGGGATTGTCAAACCCATGCGATGGGTTCCTTCGAACCTAGCTGGGTTCAACGAACCCAACGCATGGGTTCGTCGAACCCAGGCGATTTAGGTCCGTCGAACCTCGGCCAAACCCAGATCGCCTGGGTTCGTCGAACCCAGCACTAGGTTCGTCAAGCCCAACCCTGGGTTCGACGAACCCAGGTCCAGGCGACGAACCCAGGTGAACTAGGCGCCTGGGTGGGTTCAAAGGAACCCAAGCCTGTTGAGTTTCGAGGGGAAGGAGGAAGAGAAAGGGGAAGGAGAAAGAGAAAGGGAAAGGGGAAGGAAAAAGAAAAAAGAAAAAAAGAAAAAAGAAAAAAAATTTTAAGTTTTATTTTTCATAATATTTTTTTATATTATTTTTTTTACATATCATCACTTTTTGGTTATATTACCTTCCATGTGAACTACTATATGACATGTCATCTGGTAACCGTTAAGTAACAGGCCACATCACAATTTTTAACGGAATGACCAAATCGGGGTAAAAATAGTAAATAGTAGGGATCAAATCAAGGATTTTTTTAGTTCAAGGACCAAATCGGGGGTCTGTACGATAGTTCAGGGACCAAAAAGGGGTTTTAACCTATATTTTTTAATTATAAATTAATGTACAAAAAAAATATTATAATCACTTAATGTTATTAAAGGTAAAAAAACAAAATTGAAATTTATTAGATAATTATTAATTAAAAAATATGACCACAAATTTAAAAATTAAAATGGATAAATTTGTCAATAAAATTAAAAACTTTTAAT